TCTCTTCTAGCGCGTGAACCATTTTTGGAAAAAATTGTCACCGATAATGAAAAAATGGATTCTCTATGCGAATATTAAACGCCGAAAACAATGGCTCAGTCCGATAATAAAAACCACTTCCGACCCCAAAACCTGGACTCCATCCGCAGAAAGTGATGCTTTGCATTTCGTGGGACATTAAAGGAGTAATTCATTTTGAACTCCTCAATCCACAGCAAACTGTCAATGCAAAGATCTATAGTCAGCAATTGGAAGGTTTAAATCAAGACCTTCACTCGTCAATTGGAAAGGTTTTCTTCTTCTCCACGGCAATGTACGCCCACATATGGCACGTTTGACGCAACACAAGATTATGGGGTTTGGTTGCGAAGTTCTCCCCTCACCCACCATATTTTCCAGATATGGTAACATCAGATTACCCTCTATTTCGTTCGCTGCAACACCATCTTAATGGGAAATCATATGCAAATGTGGAAGGTGTTAAAGGAGACATCGACATGTTTTCTGCTTCAAAGCCAAGTGATTTATTTAATCGGGGCATTAAAAACCTGATTGTAAGATGGAAAAGCATCATTGATAAGAATGGAGACTATTTCATTTAATAAATATTTTGCTATATATATTGTTTGGGTTTTTTCATCTAAAAAAGCGACAATAATTTCTTGGCGACCTAATAGTTTTCTTGTAGAATGACATCCCATATAAGGAAATTATCATGGGGTATGTTATTATGAGACCTGCATACATTATCACCTTGACTGTTTTTGGGAGGATTGTTTACTTTTACCCTTTCATAATAGAAACGAATATATCTTTCTCTAGTCTCATTCTGATAAATGTCTCAAAATGTTCGTCCAAGTGTTATTCATGTAGTTAGTGGCATATTTGTAAGCAGGACGTACAAAGGTTGTAATGTTGTGCTAATCCTCTGAAAAAAACAAAAAAAAAACAGTTACAGGACTTGTGTTTGGATGACCCTGTCTGTATGTTGTGACCTCCTAATATGAGAAGAGATATATAGTTAATCGCATAGGCGACAAATATATCAAATTAAAGAATATGATAAACAATCGCCAAGTGTTTTTCTTTTTTGAAGAGGATAAAATTTCGAGCTGTAAACTGTACGACCTGACGAAGGGCGCTAGCTCGAAACGTCTTCATAAAAACATTAAAATAAATTGGCGATTGTTCAACCTCCTGATATGAGGTCATACTCAATTCGAAAGATGATACAAAGCTTTAGTACGTGTTAGCACTTTGGTCTGACGTGAAAATGTAGCTTCACGAGTGTATTACGAGCTGAGCTCCTTCACAGAATTTGTATGCGTGTTTTCTTATAGTAAAGCCACATCGGGCTATATACTGTATCCACCGAGGGGAATTGAACCCCTGATTTTAGCATTGTAAATCCGAAGACTGACCGCTGTCTACCGAGGGACTCATATAAGTTATCATTAAAGCTTCATATTTGTATCACATCTGAACCTGTTGGACATATTGAAAAAACTTGAATACTATAAATTCTTATAAAAATCAAATAAACTAGTTAACATATTATTCCCTCAGAATCACATTCTTCTGTACTTGAAAAACAAATATCACCATTATCTACTTTTCTACTGTAGAAATAGAATAAAACTGTCGATAAATACTCGTGTAAAATGATGAACTTCTTTGTTTCGTATAACCGTGAAAAGCTAATTAAAGGCTATCTGCGCTTGCCATCCTTAATAGAGACCAAAGAGAAAGCAGCTACAACCATTACCTACTGCCAACTCGTAGACTAGTCTAATCAATGTGGGATTTAACTAGCACTCTTACAATGCAAACACAGGTCACAACGTGTGGAGCATGATTTTTCTTTTCTGGCAATGGAACATGTACCATGAAACCTTGAATCCCCTAATGTGCTAACCACCAGGCTACTCCCAACAGAGAACGTAAAGCTTTTCGTATTTTACAAAATTACTACATGCTGGTCATTTAAAGGAGTCATCAAGTCTTTTCTTTTAATAACTCATCTACATGTACACCTGTGAATCTACGTGCTTTTCTAGTATCAATAATCAATCCGTTGTTTAGATTTTCAAGCTTTTTCACCAAATACACATAATAAGAAAAACCGGTTTTTCAGATCAAGTATGCAAAGAGTTGAGTATGTTATATTAAAACGATTTTGGAGCTTCCCTAAGTCGTTTTAGTCCACGTCACCACGTCCAGTCTTGTTCTGTTTAACAGTCATGAATCTTAACAAAAGCCCTGCAGCATAATTCCTATTGCAAAAGGCTTTCATGTCCTAAGTACACCACATACATCTTTCCATACTTTATGTATAGATGAGAACAATAGTTTCCCAACAACCACTATTTAGAAATCGAAAGGTGCTTCATCCAATAACTTGACCAGTACATCTTTTTATGGAATAGCATGAATACCCATTTCATTCTTCAGCTGACTGAAGTTTGTGAAAGTTGAAAGGTAGGAATGATTGGAAGCCTTATCTTAATGAACTTATACCCTACTGGCCTTGTTTCCAAACAAAGCTATTATTTATGTCAGAAAAAAAAAGGTCTAGATCATTGGCCTGATAATAATCAGAGTTCACCTTGACATTTGTATTTACACACCAGATTCCTAAACTACACTTGGTGCAGTGTCCAGTGGCAATCGTGAATCTCTTAAAAAAGGTTTGCAACATGCCACCTATCACACTTGGGTATTTTCTTCACCGACTGATCAGTAGAAAATGTCATGAGACCTCTTAAGGTTATCAAGATACATTTACACTTCATCAAGACTCACTATTTTTACTCAGTTATATACCATTTAATCATTCACACAGTTTCCTGGATATGTGTCACTTTTCCTGATGGAGATATTTATTGCTTATGTTGTGCACTGTTGCCTGGGAAACATGAACAGCTTCTGCCACTGACTCTTGTGTTTGTGGATCCTCATCTGTTAAAAGATGCCACACTTTGGTTACCATGGCTAAGGTATGACTTGTTGCAGTTCTATTTCTGAATAATCCTGGTTCTCGAAGTTGATCCACATTCCTTTGTTTACCAATGCCATTAAATACAAGGGATATCCCCATATTTTAAATTCTAAATCCCTGATAATAATACACTTTTGTTATATGTATGTTTGAATATTTTGTATCAAAAATGGCTGTTACATACCTTTCCTAAAAGCAATCAATTTTCAGTACATTGCACTACCTGTGACATGCCAAACAATGTTAAAATGTTGTTATGATACATTTCACTCTGCTGCAACTTTATTTTGGTTGTGGTTATCATGTGACTTGCTGATGTGCATATTTAAAATTGTTTTCATGTAACATATTTAACATATTAATATGTAACATCTTAAGGTCAAATTTGACTTTCAATCACTTCACATAATGTAATTTGAGAAAATGTACCAAAATAAAATTACTTATTTAAAATTTTGATGCAGAGCAAACATTCATCTATAAGACTGTTTGCCGACTAGTAATAAAACTTGCAACTATCCATGACTTCAGAGTATTGTATTCTAAGTATCCTTTTAATGTAAAAACAGCATTTTATCTTTAACTGATTTCTAACATTCTCATGTACTGTAAAAATTAAAGTTGATAAAGAATATTAAATATAAGGTATTGCATGGTGAAACAAATATGAGTGTCATGTGGGTTGGCATTTGGATATGATTCCCCATCCTCATATCACTACCCAGGGGAGAGGGCATTGTCTCTGCTTTTCACACCCACAGATTTTAACTGGTCTCAATTAAGTATGGTCTGCACCATTAGGGCTCCCAGGGAGTATATCACAGGTAAGTCAGGGTGCAACAGAACAAGGGGGTTACTGTCTGTCCGCCTTTCACACTTTGTTTTTCTTAGAAATGGTCATTATTCAGGTCTGACACCATCATGACACCTCCAATAGAGCCTCCTATGTATTCACCATACTATTCTATTGATCTTTAACAAACTTTGAATGCAGACTTGGAGCACATCAGAGAATAACATAGAGGGGGTCAGCTTTTGTATCTGGTCTCATTATGTCACTACTAACAGGCCCCATGGGGACATCAGCTAGTTGAATGGGTACACAGTTGATTTTATATACTTCACCAGTACGAAATCTTTAAAATTGCATAACTGTAAAAGTTTGCTTAAAGATCACTTAAGCTTCAAATTTTGAAACAGCTGAAAAGTTGTAAATTTGTTATTCATTAAAAAAAAAATCACATTAAAAGTAAGTAAGTAAGCATTTTTATTTTACCAAAAATAGTACTTAAAACAAAATTAAAATGTATTTCAATCAAGAATATCTGAAAAATACAATAAAGTTTTTCCCCACTTCATGGGTGTAAACAAAAATGACAAAAATAAACATCAGTAAAAATAATCAAAGTCTAATCAATATAATATTTTGATTATAATGTATTTCCATAAATGACAAGATGCAGCACGAGTATTTTCAAACAGAAACTGCAGTAAATCACAGAACAAATCATTTGGATAAAAATTAAGTTGAAAATATAATTTCAGTCTTAGTTAAGATGTCTTGTACAGAACATTTTGAAGTAAAATTAGACATTCCTACCACAAATGAAAGCAAACTTTGTATGTGATTTTAACTAAATTGTATGATTCAAAGACTAGAATAAATGTGGCAATATCTACAACTTACTGCTTATCTCAATGACAAAATTTACAATTTTACTTTAAAATTTTACATGCTTCAAAGTTAGATTTCATATTTTTATAAAATCATTTTAAAGGATTACACATACTATTAATTGATAACAGATTATCTCATGAAGTTTAATTAAAACTTATACATAAGGCATAACATTAAATTCCATTTCAGACAAAGTGCAAAAAGACAGATGATCTTGATGCATAAACACATGTACTTTCCTAAGATGTGTTAACTTTATTACAACTATATTAGCATTACTTTGAAATCATAAATATTTCTGTCACATTTGCAAAGGGATTTTGAACATGTAAAACAGAATTATATGTTGTATTACCAGTAGTATATTTAACCACTGATAAAAAAGCTTTTATCATTACTGTCAATATGAAATTTTTCAATTGGTTTTAACTTTTTACATGAATATTTAGGAAAACTGCCTTAAAATCATTAAAAAAATAATACATAGTAGAAACTAAAACAGTGTTAAAATGTTATATTCTCATAAATTAAGTTACTCTGTTTAAATTAAATCAAAAATATAATATTTAATTCCTACATTTTTAAATTTTAGTCAAAATCAAATGCCAATTTTTCTCCACAACTACAATATTTCTCTAAATTTCAAAAGATATGAAATATTGAAATGTATTCATGTCATTAAGTATTTAAGAGCTAATTTATCAAAACATGACATTTTTAAAGTATTTTATACATTATATAGTTAATAAAAATTTAATTTTTTTTGAGCATTTAACAATAAGACTATCTTTTACAAAATAAAACATCACCTCTATTCTCACACAGTCACATGGAGTTAATAGATTTGTTCTGTAAGTGAAACATAGTGATATAAACACAAGACAGCATTATAATAGAGATTTTGAATATTTTTATCTAAAAATACATAAAAATATGGAACACGTGTATCACCAGAGTCAGATATTTGTTGGTTCCTTCTGAAAAACAGAAAAGTTTATATTAGAAGAATTAGCAAGATAACTGCATATAGTATATACTGGTGTCATTTTCTTTATTATTAATAAATTTAATCATAAGGAAGCCAAGGTTAAAATACATTTCCTACTCACTAGACATACATGTTTTGGAACAATTATAAGTATCCAAAGATCTTTGCATCTTTTATTTGTTTTCAAGCATTGTCTTTTTATCCTAAATTAATATAAGAGGACTTTTCTTTCATTTTTGTGAAGATGGAAGAAGGAAGCTCCCTTCATACTCATTCAGATTAGGGGAGGGAACCCAAATTTTAAGTGGAAAATTAAGCATTCTTAAGAAAAATACATATTCTTTGCATTGAACCCTAGTTTAGTGTGTTGCTTTACATACATTAATAAATTTATCAACTTCGAAAAACATTTTATCTGCATTTATACAGGGTCGAATAAACTAAGATGATTTTGTATATGCAAATCATCAATTCACGTGATAATTACAGCTAATATAAAGTAGCAATGGAATTGTATGTATCAGAAACACATTTTGTTATTATATGGTGTTTTGTAGGTAGTGTGATGCCACCAAAAAATGTCATTATCACTTTTTTTTAAGGCTTTGTAACAGCCCTTGTTGATGAAGATATTTAGGATTTAGAGTTTCAAAGATGACATATCCCTAATACTTAATTGTATTGGAAAACAGAGGAACATAGATCAACTTTGGCCACAAGGACCACCCACAAAGTGTGACATCTTGTAACAAGTGAAAATCCACAAACACAAAGGTCAGTGGTAAAACTAATTTACATTACCCCAGGCAACATAATCAAGAAGTATCTCCATTTGGAAATGAGACAAACAGAGTATGGGTTCACCAAAATATTACTCTCAGTCATACTTCCTGTTCCATCATTATATACGTGAAACAGCTAGTGAATGAAGTGGGTATTTATGCTTATCCATAAGACATACCAATCAAGTCACAGAAATGCATTAGTGAAATCAATAGGTAGATTATAGAACGTCTACAATGAGGAATGATGCAAAGCAACATGACAACCTTATGATGGAGCCTTTTACAACAGTAAATATGTTGCAGAGCTATTGTCAAGATGCGTAGTTGTCAGACAGAGCAGGACTGGATGTGATAATATAATATAATGATGTATTGAGGCTTCACAATCATTCATATAACTTACTCAACCCTCTGGAAAACTAAATTTTCCAATGGTAAGTTATTGTACCTTGACACTGAAGAGTATCTCAGGTAAGTTGGTCAAAAGTAACAAGAAGTTAAATTCTGATAGATTATTGCTACATCATGGCACTCAAAGGAAGCTATGCACTGAGCAACATACAATTTATTGTGTATTCCCACTATCTCAATTCAAATTATGGTTATCAAAAGATGGCTGTGTTCTCTAATAAATGTAATTTACTTTAATGGTGGCTAAGAATCATGCAAGGCTAAAAATGACTAACTCTCCAAGCTTAACCACTATCCGGTGCTTGATAAATTTGTTAATTGAAAAACTTAGTGACCAAAAAAAAGTAGGGTTAGTGCTATGGCATCAATGGCAAAAGGCCTGATTCCACATGTAAGCAGCTACATTTGTTTTTCAGAAATTTTGTTATTAATTCTATGTATTTTCAACAGAAGTAGCTAACACATAAAAATTAGATATTTCTTGTGTTTGGTAACAAACAGATAAAATTTTAAATTTCATAAGCTCGGTCTATTGTAACTAAATCTCATGGTACATAGGTGCCTGTAATTTGATGTTTGTTTATACTAAGCTCTACAAAATCATCCTGGTGTGAATTATTGCTTCTCAAGTAGAGAAGGGGTACAAAAGAACAGTAATAAAGCAATAAAATTAAAAGAAAGACATGGAAACTTAGAAGGTGAGGCTGTTAGGATAAAAAAACTGTAATTTCACCCAAAACAATTTTCTGATGTTTATTTAAAAGTTCCTGGAGGATACACAACTGAAATATGAAAAAGTGTACAATAAATATAGATATTTTTATTCTTAAACGTGAAAATCACCTTGACCTCAGATTGACTCAGTAAAGGCTTCATGAATTCCAAGATACATCTTTAGTAGAAATACTTTTTTAAAAACCTGTTGTTTTTGTATACAACAGAATTATAACGTTTACTGAAAGCCTGTCAAATTTTGTGAGGATACATAATATTTACAGTTATAATATGTATGGTATGTACTTATAAGGTAGATCAAAGTGACCCACTTCATATGGAAAGAGTTATTACTGGGTATGGAGATATCATCAAGGACTATCTTTGGAGGAAAGTGTGGAATTCCACAGAAATACAGAAAAATCTCATTACAGATGTAAATTTAATTCAGTCATCACTTTTCATGCATCTGTCATCTCTTTGAACTAATATTTGATATTTCAAATATGAAAAATTTAAACAGAATACAGTATCTTTAATTATTTCAATAACATTATAATTTATCTTTAATCTATTTTTAACAAGATAAATACTTTTTATGCAATTGATATTAATTGAAGTGTTTCATTGTTAAACCATACCATTTAAATTAAAATAAAAACAGCAAATAATGTAAGAATATTTTCATACTTATTTTGAAAACTCTTTATAAATTTATAGAGGTACATGCAAGGCTATCAAACACAAATTACTACAAAACTCAAAATTTAACTATTAATATGATTTTATACAAAATTATATATAAGATTATGATATCAGAAACAAAAATCCAAAATAACTCTGTCTGATCATACTAAGTACATTTTATTTTAAATTACAAAAATAAAGCTACTCTATGTTGTACCTTGAACTTTATGTAAAATATTAAGCCAGTATTTCAACAAATGATGAGGGGAACATTCCTTCTTTTCCCGTTGTATCTTTGGCTAATTTTCCTTGCCACCAGTCAGCGTTAACAATTCCTGTACAAAGAATTGTTTCACCCTGATTAAATGTCAGTTCACTGCTGTTTTCTCCTTGAAATGAATACTTTGCAAGATACACCTTACCAATTGGCAGTTCCTATAATTGAAAATAATATATAAAACAGCCAACATATATAACCAATTAAAACCGCCCTCATTACCTATCAACACAGGTGCATTCATTCACATTCTGAATTCTAAATAATTCTAAAATCTACCATATATATGTTTTTCATATCAACCCATATTATTTGTCAGCTTGAATTAAGAGCTGCTCTATGACATTTTAAAGAAGCATAGCATAACTTAAACTTATCCAATCTTTAGTTCAAAATGAAGTGTTAAAAATTAAATAATACTGGAACAAACACTACACTGTATTGCAGTCTAAAAATTATGTTTATCAGATCTGTTTAAGAGATAAATTAATTGTTAATTAAGATTAAATATAAACTCTAACTTCACAGTGAAAAAACAAATACTTCATTTTCTAAGAACACAACCATTCACTCAGCACACTGCAACATTCATCAAACTAATTACTGTTTATTTGTTTTAGAGCAAAGTCACCTTGGGCTATCTGCTGTATCCACCATAGGGAATTGAATCTCAGATATTAGCATTGTAAGTCCATAGACTTACTGCTATCCCACTGGGGAACAACTAATTACTAATTCTAAAGAGCAAAGTCACCTTGGGCTATCTGCTGTATCCACCATAGGGAATTGAATCTCAGATATTAGCATTGTAAGTCCATAGACTTACTGCTATCCCACTGGGGAACAACTAATTACTAATTCTAAAGACCAAGGTATGTTAAATATTTAAGTAATAAGTTGTTAACAAATTTTAAGAATTGTTTTCCACTGTATTATTTAAATGGTACGGTGCAGAGACATTAAAAATTAGTGTTTTAAGACGTGAGTTTGGAAACAAATAGAAAAAACAATCAACTGAAATGAATGGATAAGCAATGAGGAAATGCTCAAGATGGTATAACAGAATCTTGAAAGGAAATGTCTGAAAAAGGCAAAAGGTACGGGTAGAAGAAAACAAATACTTTATGAAAATATGCATTCAGGAATGCAAAATTGTTATTTTACTTAAAAAAAATGTTTCAAGTAACTAATCTTTAGGTTTAAATTCGATGCCGAGGAACCCACTTTGAGATTAATAATGGCTGGAGACGGCTGATGATGACAAAACCTTGTCGAAACGTTGTACATTTGCTGTCATGTTAAACTTATATTAAAGTTTTTCTTCATTACCCATTTAAGCCGTCTCCAGCCATTATTAATCTTTAGGTTTGATATGAAAATAAATTACCACTGAATGATTAAAAAAAATGTATCCTTAAGTAAACAAACAACTCTTAATAAACAATGCATAAAAACACTAGAGAGAAATATTAAATTAAAA